AATAATCTAGAATTTTGGATATAGCTAGATTCAAACATAAGACACATTTTTCACTTATACCACAAAGGTTGTTAGAACTTGACATTGTGGTTAATTTTCAAGTTAAAGACTTTTTTGAAAATTCCGAAAAATTCATTTTATTTTTTAAGGTTCGTAAAACAACAAGTTGTTGTTTATATGTGGCGAAACTTCAGTATGTTATACTACTGTAAAGTCTGGAAAGATAGCATCCCCTTTTTACATATGTGTAACATTTTTTTATATTGATGCTCAATTGTTTTAAAGTAGGGGGTGCTATCTTTCCAGACTTTACGGTATTCCAATAATTAATGTGCACGCGTCGATCAAAACAAGAAACTTCTTTTTTTAAAAAAAATGTCTTACCGACCAAGAAAAAGAGACAAGGAGTGATGGCAATGATGAGCAAGTGTTTTAAGAATAGTGGTGGTGGTTGTCGTCACTCTAGTTTTTTAAAATGACTGATGAAAAAAGCAAATATTACTACTCTACTGGTATTTTTATTATATATAAGTTTAGGGCATTTTAATATTAATATTATTCGATTTATATAATTTTATATTGAATATATCCTTCATCCTCCACTACTGTTGCTTCTACTGTTGCTGTTAACAACGTAAGTTGGTTCTTTCGTGCATTTATGTTCAAGTTTATATTCTATACATACATACACACATACATATGTATAATTCCTTCAAGGTTTCGTTATGAAAATATTTGTTTTAGATCAACCCGGATCCTGCATTTATAGGATTAGATTAGTGACCACTGTTGATATACCAGTGAAAAAGAATGTGGTAAAGTATTATGACATATTGGATAGATTGATGGTAAGACATTTGAGTTGGCTATTTTATCAAGATAAATTACAAAACTAACTTAAGAATCACCTTTACGTTAATTTAATAGTATGCCACAAATAGTTTGTATGACATAATAAAAAAATCTTGATGATTTGTCAAAAAGGAAAAAGAAGAAGAGAGAAGGAAGAAAAACAAATTTATTGTCTTCAGTTTCGTGCATGCACTCACCATAATATCATTTATCAAATTTTCTTTCAATTTCTTTTGCCATAACAAATTATTATAAATATTTCTTTCTTTCAAACGTATGTTAGACATGAAATACCAATTTGATTATTATTAAAACGAAATTAAATAGTTCATAAGGCTTCGAATCGAATTTTAAAATGATTTAATTTATTCAATTCGTTTAATTCCTTAATGTATTTTTATTATTATATTGTTTCTGATGATAACAAGTAAGATCAAGACATAAAATGAAAAACTGATGTTTTTTACTGATACCTTTTATAAGCCGATTTTCTTAAGAGGGATTTACTGTCGAAAACATTTTTTTTTAAAATATTTACTTCGTATAAATAAATATAAATTTTATATATAATAATCGAGTACAAATGAAAAAATTCTTTTTATAACCGATTTTTCATTCTCCATTTAATTATACATATAGTAATAGGACGAAATTCGGATGAAACGATGTAAATCGAAGTTGAATTCGAATTTCATAAATAAATGATTTCCTTGTTGGTTTCTTTTATGTGACAAGTTTACACAATCTAAACAAATCATTATCTTACTGTGCAGATCATCTATAATCATTAATTGCTTATAGTAACAATTGGTCAACTTCAAAATACTAAAACAAAAAAAAATTA